CCACCCCCACCCCCTGCCCTGCAAGGTAGGGCTCCCCGCGGATAGGCTCCTGTCCCAGGACCTCATGACCGGAATTGATTGGAGCAGACTGGCTGCTAAAGCCTCAGAGTGGGTGGGGACAAGGGCTAACGTCCACACACTACGTGCAGTCAATGCCCAGGTACACCTGCCTGGAGGCAGGGGTAGGGAATGAGGACCACGGACCACAAGCTGGGGCAAGCAGCTCGGCCCTGACCTACCGGCCTGTGCCACTTTCATCCCCTACAGCGTGAACTTCGTGAAGTGGTCCTCACAGGGGATGCTCCGGATGTCTTGTGAAGCCATGAATGAGCTCTTTCAGCCTACAGTCAGTGGCATCATCCAGCATATAGGTGAGCTCCTGAGCTCGGATCCTCCATTCTCCCCTACATACACACCCAGATGTAGAGTAATTCCCCATCAGTGCCCGGAAACCTCCACACACCATGTACTGCGATGAGACCAAGAATCATCTGGAAGACTCGCCAGATGAAGTGCAGGAGTGATTAAGAACTAGGGGGAGTGATGTGCGGTCTTGCCAAGTTAAAGAACCTCTGGTGCTTCAGTTTCCCCATGTATAAGACGGGGTGATAGTATCGTGTTCCCCAAAATGTTAGGAAGCATCTAGCGTGAACACAACATATAGGTGTAATAAGTGTAAATGTGTACCCTTATGCCCGCCCTCCACGTTGTGATGGGAGAGAAGGGAAGCGCAGGAGTGCTGGGGAGGCAGAACCCATGAAGAAACCACCAGTACCGGGTTATTTTGTAGCTCAAATGGCTGGTTTCCGGCTGCCAGGCTGGGGAGAGAAGGCGCCAGTGGCCGCCCAGTGGTGCCTCACGGGCCCTCGCACTCTCCCCCCTCCTCTCCACCCCGTCCTGCAGAGGCGCTGCTGGCGCAACCGGAGGTGCGAGGCGTGAAGCTGCTGTTCCTGGTGGGTGGCTTCGCCGAGTCGGCCGTACTGCAGCACGCGGTGCAGGCGGCGCTGGGC